AAACAAAAAAAAACGTTACTCTGAAAGTATAAAACGATGTAAAAAGCATCTGCAGTTGAAAGCATAAAATTACGCACAAAATATTGAGATTTCGGCATTAAATAACCAATAGACGTTAATAGGACACTAAACAAAATCAACCAACCAATAGCCACGATCTTGGGACACGTGACACGCATCTACAACTTCTTGTTTCATGGGGTAGTTATAGTTATCATCTTTATCTCCTATGAGGTTTCTTTCATTTACCCATAAAATACAATTCCACAAAGTCAGAACGTTAAATGTCTGTTCTGTAATATATTAAAAAAACACAATGTGAGCTTATATATTTTATCGGTCATGCAGCCTGATCTTATATTCTGTTGTTATAGCAGCAAAATGAGCTACTCGACACCAGTAAGCGAACGTATCCTCCATGTTACCATAACAACGGAATATCTCGATATTACAAGTAGGGGAGATCGGGCTATACTAGGTTTTATTTTATTTTATTTTTTTTGTTTTGTTTCGTGCGAGCTTTGGATTTTTTTTTACTTTTAATGATTTAAAAAACAGAATTCTAATTTACACGTGACAGTAGTTTAATAAATAAAAATCCTCCATTGCTCATGAAGAAAATATAACCAATGTAATTGCAGCATTAATGAAATATTTTGGTCCTTTTTTTTCTTGACGGCAAAAGGCAAGTTAGCTTTCTTTGCATATTTTTATGCATGATTTTTCCTGATTTAAAAAGCAGAATTCTTTCTTACGTTCGACAATATAATTAATTACATAGATAGAAATCCTTGATTACTCATCCAGTGTGTCCCACTGGATGAGAGGGAAATATATAGGTACCCAAGAGGGAGAAGAAGAGAGTCTCTTATATACACGCGAGAAGAAGAATCGACGTTTGGAGAAAATCCCATTGATACACACCCATCACCGACAGTACTGAAATTACAAAAATTATTGAATTGTTTCCGTCTTTTTTTTTCTTTCTTTTTTTTTTTTTTTTAACCTAAGCATCAGGTTAGCGTTCTGGGAATATTTTTTTCACTTTAACAATTTAAAAAGTAGAATTCTTTCTTACATACAACAACGTTCTTATTTACACTTATTACATTGTTCGGACTGTTGTCCTCAACTTTATTGTCATATTCACGCCGGTTCAACCATTGTACGCTCCGACCTTCTTCAGGTGATATACGTTGGAATTTCGCCAACGATATATGGCCAGGTGGATAAAGGCGTCTGGTTGAAGTAATCTAGTGAATTGACCCAAAGTGTTGTGAGTTAAATACCTTCCCACGGCAGAGGTGAACAAAAAACTTGGAGAATTGAGTTAGTAAAGGGAAATAACTAAAACTGAGATAACCCAAAGAGGCCTGGAACTAGAACAATCTACCCAAGTGGATTCAATTCGAAATTCCAACGTATATCACCTGAAGAAGACTGGGGCGTACAACGACCGAAACGTAGTGAATATGACAATAAAGACAACAGTCTGAACAATGTAAATATTATAAATAGTTATAATACCTCACTTCAGTAATATAGGTAAATGATTTTTGATAATTCCTAATTGCTAAGATATCGCCGTCATTTTTACTGATATGGGTAAACTAACTTATTCCCCGGTAATAAATGATTTAGTGCTGATTTTTAGCAGCTGGTTCTTGGGTTCAAATCGTGTAACCACATAAAAGTTGCGCCAGGGGAGTAACTATCTCCTCATAAAAAAAGGACATTCTTGGTTAAATAGGGGAAAATAGGTTCTTTACTCAAGTGGTCTGTGTTTATCCAAACAAAATCCGTATTACATCAAAATTACAACTTATTACACGGTACCCTCTAATAGCCTGGGAGCGAGAGTAGATATCTATGAAACAGAGCTGAGTCTGCCACAAGGCCACGTGTAGCGATATCAGTCAGCTGATATGTTATTAAATGGAAAACAGCTGGACCCGTCACAAAATGGATTCTCACATTTATTTCTCCCCGATAATTATCAGTAAGTGAAATAAAGGACAAGCGGTCAGGTCAAGGAGAAATCACTCTGATCTATATACGAGTGCACCTTTGAAACTTTCGATGATCAAAGATTGGCGATTGATCACTCCTCCGATCTTGCACAAACTACCCAATGGGGCCAAAACTAGCTGGTTACCTCCAATGCCTCGAAGACCAAGCTACTTACATTCCATTATCGCCGATCTGACCCCGAACTACCACCAATCATGATGAACGGAGGTCCTCTCGTGCCTTGAAAGATTGTTGGGCCTCAAACTTACACCCGATGTCAAGCGGGACTCGTACATACGATCGATTGCTAAGGATGCGGGTAAAATGGTCGGCTCTCTCTACCGCTTCAGTAAGTACCTGGCTCCTCCTGCTATTCTTTACCTTTACAAGAGCCAGATCAGGCCGAAAATGTAGTAATCTTGTCATATTTGGGCGACTGCTGCCCAGACCTCACTCTCCAGCCTTCATAAGTTCAAAAGCCTCTCCGAGCCCTTGTGGTGACGAATTATTCTCCACCCTTCACCCTCTCTCCCACAGGCGGGATGTGGCAAGCATCACGCTGCTCTATTGCTACTTCCACGGAAAGTGCTCGGTGGAACTACATTCCCTGGTCCTACCGAAGCAAACGTTTACCGCAAGGACACGCCATGGCACTTACATAGGATCAAACCACCCACATTCCCTCCGTATTCCATCGGTGAGAAGTAAGTTCCAATCGAGCAGCTTTATCTCGGAAATCACTGCCCTGTGGAACCGACCCCCGACGACAGGATGTTTTCCCGATCAATTTTAACCTGTTCAAGGCCAGAGTTAACCGGTATCTTCCACTTATATATACAAAACGTAACCCTTTACCTCGAGTGTCCCCCGGCCTTTGTAAAGGGTGAAATTCGCTGTAAAATGGAAAAAAAACTCTACTGTGCCCAGATATTGAACCCACAACTTTCCAAGGACATGTAGCCCAGTGGATAAAAGCGTTGGTTGAAATAATCTGGTGACTTGACCCAAAAAGTTGTGGATATGACAATCAAGATGAGAACAACTGTACGGAGAATATAAATAGTGTAAATATTGATATTATGCGATTTCAGTGACGCGTCACGTCACGAATTAATGTCTAGCAAATCTACTTTTGTAGACCATTACGAGCGGAATGAGTTCAATCTTCCTTGTGTGCCCGACAGTTGTTACTTTGATACATGTCTTTACTAAGGAAATATATCATGTTGTTTTCAAGAATGTTTCTTTCTTTCTATGTACCGTGTCCTTTCAGACACCTCCCTCTATCCCTTGCAGCTCTCAACAAGTTCCTTTCCTCTGCCACCCTCCCCCAGACCACGTTCTGTCATCCACTTGCTTAAGCCCGCTAGGTATGTCATGCATTGCTTTCCCTTGTCTCTCTTTCCCTCTATTCGACCCGTGAGTATCAGATTCTCCAGGTCTTCATTCGTCATTATGTGTTCCAGGAACTTCAGCTGCCTCTTCCTGATATTAAGTATAAGCCACCTCCTTGTTTGCAACCTCTCTAAGACCTCATCGTTGTTCACATGCTCGGTTCGTGATACCCTTAGCATCCTTAACTTTAAAGCTAAACTTTTAGGGTACAATATTTTTTTCCTTTTTTTGTCGATACTAAAATAAATAATAAAGATACAAGCTAAAATGTATTTTTAATGCTAAGTACCTTTAAGACGAAGACAATTATGGCTGTCCACATAATCCTTTTTCTTTATTATCGACGAATTGCCATAACTTCTTGGGAAAGATAGTGGAGTGATTACCAATTTCCTTTTTTTTTGCAAATTTTTCTTCAGAATTCTTCTTCTTCTAGATAGGTTGTTATGCAAGATAAGAAGGGGGACCCAAAAGTAACCGGAATTGTTTCCTGAGCGACAAGCCCGTAGTAGTTCAGGCTTCCACCACTAGATGCCACTTGAAGCAACCCTCAGGCATCAGTGTGCTAACTGGTGTCATCGTAGGAAGACGTACAGCTCTGTGGTTCACATTTGTTTTGAAGTGCTTCATGCCTTTTCGCCTATTTTTACCATGGCTGAAAGGATGACTGTCGTAAACTGAAAGAACAGTTGGAAGTTGATTCAGATCTTTTTTCGAAGGTCATCACTGGTGTCAAAAGCTGCGACACAGAAACGAAGCAACAATCAAGTGGAAGCATCCAACGTCACCACGACCCAAAAGAAGCGCGTCAAGTGAAGTCCATTGTCAAGACGATACTGATTTGTTTCTTTGATGTGAAAGGAATTCTTCACAAAGAATTTGTTCCTCCTGGTCAAACTGTTAACCGGGCTTTTTACTTAGAAGTCCTGAAGCATTTGCGAGACAAGGTGAGACGAAAACGCCTTGATCTGTGGCAAAGTGGAGGCTGGTGGTTGCATCACGAAAATGCGCCAGCGCGCACCGCCTTGAATTTGAGACAGTTTCTGACCAAGAATGGCATGACCCCCACTTCCCCACCCTCCCTATTCACCCGATCTCACCCGCTGTGACTTTTTTTGTTCCCCGCAAGAAAGTCCTGAAAGGAAAACGTTTTTGCAGATGCGGAAGAGGTTAAGAAGAAAACGACGGAGTCATTAAAAACATAACTTCAAAAAGTTCCAGGACTGCTTTGAACAGTGGACCTGTGCATTGCTTCAAATGGAGAATACTTTGAAGGTGATAAGAATATAAACATGCAACAATAAATGAATAAAATTTGGTGTCCCCTTATATATATATATATATATATATGTGTGTGTGTGTGTGTGTGTGTGTGAAAAGTGTATATAAATATAAATAAATATATATATGTATAATTATTTATATATTATATGCGCGGTACTTATTAGAAAGCGCTCAATCTGTCTGACAATCGCTAAAGCGTGAAACCTAGGGTCACAAACTCACATCTATCCAACCAAATATATATATATATATATATATATATATATATAAATAAATAAAAGGTGTGTGAAAAAAGCTTCCAGGCGCCGCTTTCAGCCATATCATGTTGAAACACCGGTTCTCGTCCGATTACCGAAGTTAAGCAACGTCGAGTCTGTTCAGTACTTAGAGAGGTGACGACAATACCAGGTGCTGTAAGCTTGGTTGTTTTGTTTGTTTAGCTGCATATCAACTCCTTATGAGTCATATCATGCCGGAATTTAATTTTCTTGCGAGCTTAAAAATGTCATTCTGTTTTCACAGTTGAGTACATGGTAGATGATACTCAGCTTTTGTGCATATACATGTTTGTGTGGACGTAATAACTAGAAGTGGTGATATATGTTTTATGTTGTAGTTTTGTTGGTTATATTTTGGAGTACAGTTCGATTTAAGAAATTGTAGGATATGAATTCATGTCACGAAAGAGTTTTTTCATGTTGGTTGTTTCATATTTCGGCTTGAAATAATCTACAAAAGGTTGATAAGCCGTAAAAAACAAACTAATCAATCAATCAACTTATATAGATAAAAGAGCTTTGGAAACTTTGTGCACACATGAAATACTGTTGCCATATATGGTCTGGTGCCGCCATTGTTCACCTTGAGGTCCTCGACAAAATCCAGAGATGGATATAAAATGTGATCGGTCCTGACTTGGGGTCTCGACATCAGTCACTTTCTCACCGACGTAATGTGTCTTCCCTCTGTCTTTTCTATAAATATTTTCATGGCATCTGCTCTGGAGAGCTATTTTCACTGGTTCCCCGACTGCATGAATTTAAGCGTGCTACTAGGTTGGCATCTAGGTCCCACTCTTTTACTGTCAAAACAGTTAAATATAATTGCCTCTTCTATCCCAACAGCTTCTTTTCTCGCACTTCCAGACTGAGGAACTCTCTTCCTCTTACTTGCTTCCCTGATAACTATAATCTTCAAAATTTCAAAGTTAATGTCAATCGACATCTTCTGTTGCCTTGATCCCTGTTCTTCTTTATATCCTTTCCTCAGCCCCCCATCTCACTATACTCAGTCTTTTCCCTTACTTACACTCTCTGTAGCCCCTTGCGTACTAGTGGCACTCCCGCCTTTGTTGGAGTGAATTGCTTAAAAACAAAAATACTATCCATTGCTCTAACCATACGACTATATCTCCAAGTGTTTATATGAATGAATAATTTGGAAAGAGATAATGTGAAGTGGAAAACAGGATTAGTAAAAAAAACAAGGAGCATTTCTTCAGGCAGAAAAAAATTGTGTAAGAAAAAGTAATTAAAAGTAAAAGAAAAGTACGTTAATGTCATTGTTTGAAACTTTGTTGACCGTTTCCTACAGAGGAAATACTGAGCTGTTGAATTAACGGTTACATTCAGGCATCTTGGAAATATCTGGGACACGTCTTGGTTTTCTCAAAGACATTTTTTTCAAAAGACGCCAGCAAGTCCTCCCTTCTAAAATTTCATAGACTCCAATTAGAAATTCCCGTGGCTATAGCTTATTGGCAATTCATTGGGATTAGAGGTTATGGGTCATAATGAATGAAGGTCAAAAGGAAACTTCGCAAATTAAAACCAAAGGGGAATAAATGTTTTTATTTTTTAAATATTGATTAATCTTAGTTTTGTCTGACACAAGGTCTCGCCAATGGAGCACAAAGTAAGGGTCTAAATAATCCCAAAGTAATAGTAATGGCGTACTCGATTACATTGCTTACCATTATCCATGATCAGTCGCCTTTGAGCACTTAGTAAGTTTAACTTAAGTCAGAAATATGCGGTTTCAAACGGGGATCAAATTTACAACACAATCGTAACGGTCAGTTAGATTAATGTCCTTTTAAAGTTAATTCACATCAAAGAAACAAATCAACATCGTCTTGACATTGGACTTCACTTGACGCGCTTTTTGGGGTTTTATAGTTAAGGAAACCTAAATAAATATTGATTCCACGAAGATAGATGACACTGACCTCATTAGCTTCAGAAAATTAGCCATTGACAACAACAGGAAAAATTGGTCCCATTACAACAATAAGAATTTGCGAGATTTGATTGTTTTTGGGGGTTTTTTTGATAATGGATGTGTGTCCAACCATTTTTAATATCGCTCGAACCAATTTCGTGGTCATGATATAATTTCACAATCACTTAGAGAAGACCTTATTGTGCATGCGTGAACAGACAGTCCCTGTAAGGACGATAACTTTAAAACATTATTAATGGATTAAATGGAATTCAAATAATTCTTTGTCGTTCATAAATGCAAACTCGTCTGGGGTTATGCAAGAAAAATAATCGTTAACCCTAGACTTGAAGAGTTCAAGATTGTAGTGATTGGGAAAACATCTTGCGGGTCGTTCTTTCTACGGTACAGAATTTCTTGGGAAGAAGCTGTCCGAGTGGAAATTACTTCTTACTAATGGAATACGAAGAGAATGCGGATGGGTCACTGTTGTGTAGGTGGCATGGCGGGTCCCAATTGCAAACATCAGGGTTGGTGAAACCAAGGAATGTATTTCGTCAGAACACATGACAAGGAAATAGCAATAGATAGCGAAAGACTCGCGATGTTTTGTCTGTGAAAACCGGGTTGTAGGATGGAAAGTAATTCAGCACCCACAAGGCTGTGTAGACGCTTTTGAACTTTTGAAAACGATTGTTGTATATATGAAATATGTACAATGAGTAAAACATCGTCTGGAATTCGGAAGTGTTGTCATTATTCTACGAATTATTCGACCTATAGTATTATCATCTCTGATGGTTGGGTCATGCTATTTCGACCAGTGTGTTCTCCAGCCGTCCTGAAGTTCTGAGTTGAAGTAGTTTCTTTGTGCTAGAAATAAATAGTACTAGTCTTCTAATTTTTTGATCATATTTTTTTACCGATATGTTCTTCGGCCTTTCCCAAGTGTATGTTGCATTATTAAGTGTCGAGGGAAGCTGAAGAATGCATCGACTGGAATGTGTCATAATACACGACAAAGATAAGGATACTAGTCTGAGTGATTCGTAGGTTAATGGTAGGATTTTGCCTTTCAATGAAAAAAAAGTTCAAGAAAAAACTCAGGAAATTGGGATGGTCGCAAAGAAAATGGAAGAAAAGAGAAAACGCGAATTACGCGAAAAATGAAGGAATGCTGAGATGTGACCCCAGATTTACATTCTAACTGTAGTGAGAGGGGAATTTAGCTTTTCTTTTTTTAGAAAAATGCTGAAAATTTTCAAGGAAAGAGAAGGGAGAATGGCAAACATTTGGCTGCATCAGAATTTGAAAATTTTTCTAACATGGTGGTTTTCGTCTTTTCTTCACAAAAATATGATCAGCCTCTCCTCTCTCTCCTCTCTCTTGCTCTCCCCTTTCCTGTTGTGAAGGATCATAATACTTAGAGAGTCAAAAACAAGAACTTCGGAAGACCCATCTCGAGGTCGACTGCGTGTTTGAATTTATTCGGCGTAAATTTACTTACCGATATTGTGCTTATGCGTCTGTGACTACAAGCAGCAGACTCGGGCGGGGCGGTTGCAGATATAAAGGGATGTTGGTGTAGATATATACTCATTTTAAATTCGTCTGACACAAGGCCATACCAAAGGAGCACTCAGCAGGAATCGAACTCACCTGCAGTAATTTACGAAAAGTGCTTGTTAAACACTGCACTATTTGTTAATTGATTGATTGATTTGGTTTTTTTTTTTGTTGTTTTTTTTTGGGGGGGTACACATTGTCAACCTTTTGTGGTTAATTTAAAGCTGAAACCTAGTGTCGATAGCACAATAATAAAAAAATAATTCTTTTTTGCGAGTGAATATTAACAATTTTTTTAGAACAAGCAATGATTTTTCTAGATACTAGTCTTTCTATTTAACCCATAGCTGGTGGAGAAAATGGATTCACACTTTTTCCCAAGTGCATTTGCGCGTAAGTGAATGTAACGAACTTGGTAGAATTCGAACTCGGCACTGATTTCTCATTCTGAGCCGTTATCCATTACACCACTTGCACATTCGGGATATGAAATATGAAGTAAAAGCCAAAAATGTTGGACGATATGATATATAGACTATTTATATATCATACTAATGGGAAAAAAAATACCCTTACGTAACTCGTTTCGTCTTGAGCCTAATAATGTGTTTTTTTTTTTATCATTACAGTCAGTTTTATATATGGGGGAGGAGTGAAGAAATACAACACTAATTACAATTTTACATCGAAAACACAGAAAAACTTAGTTACATCAATGTTTCATGCTCGTCTTGAAAATCCGTATTTGTAATCCTGATTTTTACCTTGAACTGAACACCAAACACTGGGTTGGTGGGGAAATACACATCTGTATCAATGAACGGACTGCCACGACACGAGTTTGTGTAAAGTCTTCAATTTTTTTCCCTTCTGAATAGCTTTACTTCCGTCTAATGACAATGTCTCAGATATACTTACTTTATTTGTACAATTTAAAGTTGGGTGTCTACATCCAAAAATAATGACTCTCTTTTTAATAAACATTCTGGTATTTCGAAAAAAGTAACGATTTATTTATATAGATATATTGTTTTGGTCACCTCCGCGTGGTGTAATGGTTAGCAAATTTGTCTCGCTAGATCAGTTACGACTGAAAAGCGAGTTCGATTCTCACTAGGTGCTCCATACTTTCGGCCTTGTGCCACATCTAAGATACGCTTGGAAAATCACTATAGATGTATTGTTTCGAGGCGATGTAGTGGTTAGCAAGATTGTCTCGCTAGACTAATTATTACTGAATAGTGAGTTCGATCCTTACTGGATGCCTCATAGTGTCGGCCTTGTGCCACATCTAAGCTATGCTTCGAAAATCCCTGTATTGTTTACTGTGAGTGACCATATAAGGAAGACAACGTTTCCAATTGAACTAGAAATGCATAAACATTAGCTTTTAGTTATTGATAAATTTACAATCATCCACAGGTGAATATAACAAAATAAGGAAATAATTCTTGAAATTATGGTCATTACATATAATTTTTTTAATTCTATTAATCGATGTTTTAAAATGGTACTGTAAAAAGGGACAAATTATTTCTGGTAAAATTTTAGATATATAAAATTTTTCACCAGAAAATAATATTTTCCTAAGAAAGTTTAAGGACTGAAGAAGATTTGGTCAAATATAAACAA